GACTTCGAAGGGTATTTTCTTGTTAGTTCACAGGACAACAAGAAGGACCTGAAGGCGCCTCCCAGACAGTTGAAACTTTCTATGAAAGACATTCGATGGCAGTGGAAGCATGATGGCTGCCCGAGAGCTGTGATGGGGAACCCTAGCGGGAAACAAGATCAGGTCCAGGCTTGGCGTAAGTTTTGTACAACGGCGCTCCATAAGGCGCCTCAAAACAGCTTGTGGCTTCTCGCGGATCAGAAGGAAGAGGAGGCCATTAAGAAGCAAAATGCTGTCCTGCGTTCTTACTTGCCTCTGGCGATGGCCGGGGAAAATGTCTGGAAACTGGCCGTCGATTTTTTCGAAAAATGGGAGACTGGCAGATTGCTGAGCCACGATGGGGCGAAGTGGACCGTCAAAAAGAAGAAGGTCAAAAACGTAAAGCCTGAGGTCGCCTACATCCACAATGACAAATTGGGCAAAACGGAGGTGGTGTACAACGTCCCCGTGGACCCGCCGAATAAAAAGGGCAAAAAGGAGAAAGAGGAGGGCGATTGATTCGTGCAAGTGCCAGACCCGGACGCGCATTGTTGGAAAGCAATGGAATCACTCACGGACAATGAGAAGTGTCGCGTTCTGAAAGAGGTGCTTGCTTGCGAGGTCGTTTGGGTCCAGGCCGGCTCCCCGTCGTTGGCGAAGTTGGGAAAGCTCAGCGTGCAGGACATGGTGCAGCTGGTGAAGTGCGACCACGTGCTGGTCCGGTTGTGGAATTACTACCAATTCAAGCACGAGAAGAGGTCGGACGCGGACTGGATCCAAAGGTACCCTTTCCTTAAATCGAGGTCTGCCATGTTCAAGAAGTTTGAAGGTCAGGGATTGGATGACGAGTTGTGGGATAACAGCAGGAAACTCGTTTCCGACTCGGCGCTATTCAAGGACTGCCCGCCGTACATGGGTTGCGACCACGACAACTCGATTGAGGCGACGGAGAAGTTGGCGGGCCACAAGAAGTTGTCCGTCGACTGGAGAAACAAGGTTCTCTCCGTGTTGAATGGAAGCAGACTGAAAAGTCGGGAGGTCGCACTTGCCGAAAGCGTCGTTCACATTAAATGGAAAGACACGGGGGACGTGACATCCATCGCGCCGTTCGCTAACGACCCTTTAGAAGCGGACATCAGGGGCGCAGAGCTGAAGGAGGCAGTGGCTGCCACAAAGAGCCACACGTTCATCCTCAATCTGTGCGAGCCAGTTGACCTCAAACTGTGGAAGCCCCAAGCGTGGGAGACTTTGAATTCCTATCTTCAGACGTGGTGTCCCTCGCATTGGACTCTCGTTGTTTTCGTGCCGCGGCAGCACAACCTGTCGTTTCTCGCCAGCATGCACCATCTTTCTTTCGTCAAGCTGTTGGAAGGGAAGTGGGTGAGGATACTTCAGCAAAAGAAAAGCTTCCCCGTTGGGAACAATTTGTACACGGAGGAAGACCGCATGTACATCCTCTTCAAGGGTGACGATCTGCGCGCCAACATGTCCGTGGTCTACGAGGGAAACCTGCCCACGGGTGCCGCTGCTGCGGTGCGATTGCCTCAGAGGGTCACCCAGACGGATGTGTCCGAGATTCCTTTCACGCCTTGCGACTGGTCGCTGGTGGCGCCTGAACGACAGGGCTGCGTCTACGGGGATATGGAACGCAATCCGACCCAATTCGTCGGTCTTCTTGATTTTCTTGGCAAGAAGGGAGAGGGTGTCGTGTTCCTTGGAAAACAGCATGCGCGAAGCGTCTGGGAGCTTCTGAAGGCCGACCGGCACGTTGTCGCAATGGAAGGGAACTCCGACCTCTTGCAATTCACGACGCAGGTGGTGAAAAGCGAGGTCAATTCGAGTGGGCACAATTGTGAGTTCCTTGTCGTGAGGCCAACACGGGATAAGGTGTGGAGCAAGAAGACGGATATGTGGTTCAAGTTGAGCGAGAGGAAGAGGAACAAGATATACGATTTCTTGTTTCTTCAAACGCGTCCAAGGAGGGACACTGATGCCGAGTACGTCCGCCGGAAGGACCACATGTTGGCACTGCTCGACGACTACCACTTCGCCTCCCGCATGAACGCGAAGACGTTTATCGAAAGGCTGCAGTCGCTATACTTTATGGAGTCTGAGGAGCAGTTGAAGTTAGCCAGTTACACTTCCCTGATCTCCACTGATGACGAGAAAGCCATAGGTGTGGAGTTTGTCGCCAACGCGAAGGAGGAGGAGAGCGACACGGAGAGCATCGACCTGCAGTACGACATGCCTCCGGCGGACCACGGCCGAGGGTCCTCGTCGGTCGGTCCATCACCAAGCGCTGCAGCCCTCGTGTCACCATTGGCCAAACCGGCGCCGGGCACCACGCCGATGAAGTTGCTGGAGAGACTTAGAGCTCTGGCTGCCCCCCCGCCCGCTTTGCGTCCCGGTTCCGTTATCCCGCCCGATCATCCGTCTTGGAAGGATGACAACATCCACTTCCTGCTTGAACCGCAACGTCATTCACCTGAGCAGGAGTGGGGCCATGACATGGTTTGGCATCCGGGAGTCGTCCAGCCAGCGATACGAAATGGTGAGTGGGTTATGGCCGTGGCAATCCCAGGCGCGGGATGGGTGTCATTCCCACGCGAGTCGAAGTCCAACTTTCTGCACCTCGCGAGGATTTCGGTCCTCCAGAAAGTGAAGGTCGAAAATGACACTTTAGCACTCGGCGACCTGTCCCTGATTTCCACTGTCGGTCGACTGTTCGACGAGCTTCAGGACAAGTGCTGGTTGGAATTGACGGAGGACTACTACGAGCTCGACACGAGTCCGTCGAAGGGCGTGGTGGACTGGAAAGTGCCCCCTCCCWRTGGGCCGGACGGTGGTTCCGGGGGGGGGHCACCTGGAAGCGGAGGGGATGGGGGTGGCGACGYAGGGGGTGGCAAAGGAATCCCGCCTATGGGGGAGAGAGGGTCTCACGGCCGCAACACGACACCGGGAGGCAGCGCCGGGGTGGAGGGTTTCGCCGTCGACCGRACTCCGTCGACAGGCACCCGCCCCGAGCACACGACACACTCCGCCGACCCCCAACCTTCGTCCGTGGGCTCAGCGAGGGACACGTCGGCAGCCTTGGTTGCTCTGGGCAGTCGCTCGGACGGAAAGCCGAAGTCCGCCAGGATCCGAACTACGTCGGGTAAGGAGCCGCCAGAGCGGTCCGGAATGCGAAGTTGCTCGGGGTTGGGGGATCCAAGCACGGATCGAGAAATTCGCAGCATTGCGGCGCGGGACGGAGACGTCGGAACGGTGTCGCCTGAGCGTGAGCGACAGCCGCAAGGACTGCAGCGGGAAGCTGCAAGTGCAGGTTCCAGCGACACGGAAACCACGAAGTCCGCCGAGATCTGAACTTATTCGGGCGGGGTTTGTCGGCCAGGGATCGTCGTGCCGTTGAGAGGGGCAGCGTGCACGGGGACAGAAGGGCGGTCCTCGCAATTCGGGACGGGTGCCGCGGAAGGGGAAGAGTTTCGTGGGAGGGAAGTAGGGGACGAAATGGAGGAACAGAAGAGAGCGCAAGAAGGGGAGAAAGAAAGGGAAGAAGAGGTAGAAGGGGAGGAAGCGGGAGATACGGAGCTAATTGATTTGTTTGAAGGAAGGGAGGGTGTCGGGTCTGGAGAAGACGAAGTGGAACACAGTGAGGACGATGCCGGATCTAGAGAGTCGTCTGACGAGTTCGGACAACTGTATGGAGAGCATCACAAGGATGATGTCGACGATGATGCCACAGCAATAGAGATAGAGACACAAGTGGTCAACAGCCTTTCCGCAGAGCCTGAAGATTATGCGGTCCGGCCACTGACGTTTGCTATCGACTTGCAGCACCGGTTTGACGAGGCTCCCGTGGCTATCAGCCAGTCTGAAAAAAGTCGACGTATAAGCATCGACGACGTTATCGACGGTATCCTCGGCGACCACAACGTGTTTGCCCGTCCGTACGCAACTGCCAACGTCGCATCTTCCGTGGCAGCTGCCCTCGCTTCGTCGCCGCCGAAGTCTCTGATGCTGCAGGCCACCCTTGCCGCCGAAGGGGAAGGCGAGTGCGGTGGAGGACAGCATGTGACATCCCCAAAAAAATCGAGGTTCGGTGGTCAGGCTCTCGACGTGCTCGCTTTGCCTGCGCCAAATTCACCATCGAAGGAGCGGAGAGAGAAACAGACTGGTAAGCCGTGAAGAACGCCTGCGCATCCGGATGTCGCCGGAATACAGCCCGCGCTATACACACGATGACTGTCCACACTGTCTGTGCATACGGAAAGTTCCGGATGCCGGCATGCTACAGCAAGCAGCCCTTCCTACTCCAGCTCTCCAGCCTGTCTGTGACTCGGCCGGGTTGCTAGTCGAGGGCGGGGAAAACTTCGTCCAAAGCCTTACACTCCATCCAAGGAAGGATCTGCCCCGGCTGAGGAAGTGGCCAAGGTGCTAAGAACGTGGCCAAGTACATGGACTGACAGTTTTTCCTTCTCGGGAATAGTGCTAGTTTTAGTCCGCCGAGATCCGAACTTCCTTTGTCGATGCGTGATGTGGTCAGTCTCAGTGGGGCTGGTGTGTTGAAAAGTCCGCCGCAGTCCGAACTTCGGGGATTGCTGGCCTCCGGCTTCTGTGAGTTGTGGTGGTTTTCCTTTGCGAAGTGCAGGGGGTAATAAGCTCCAATGTTGCAGTTGTTTTGTTTTCCGGTCGCACAACCGCACGTGGGTGCACATGACCACGCGAGATCAGGGTCCTGTGGTCGGAGAGGTCCTCCTTGACTGTAGGCCAAGGTGCTAAGAAAGTGGCCAAGTACATGGACTGACAGTTTTCCCTTCTCGGGAATAGTGCCGGTTTTAGTCCGCCGGGATCCGAACTTCCTTTGTCGATGCGTGATGTGGTCAGTCTCAGTGGGGCTGGTGTGTTGAAAAGTCTGTCGCAGTCCGAACTTCGCGGATTGCAGACCTCCGGCTTCTGTGAGTTGTGGTGGTTTTCCTTTGCGAAGTGCGGGGGTGATAAGCTCGGATG